CCCCTTTAATCTCTCCTTTCAGAGTGCGGGTACTCACACTCCTCCAGGAGAAAGCCTGTCTGGCTCCCCTTATCTCCAGGGTGACGATGTCCTGTGGACCCTGTGGGTTCCCTGGATTTTGCCTTATCTGTGGATTGAAAGCAGACCTGAGAAGGCATCTCAAAGCTTGGTGGGAGCATTTACACCCACAGAGCGTCTCTGCTCTCTATCTGCTGATGGACATCTTTGCTGCTTTCTATCTGGGTCTGATGGAGCCACGCAGTGGGGTCCCAGGATGGAAAAAGGGGATGTTCCCACACACAGGGCTGTGGTAGGAGCAGGTCAGGAGAACAAGATGCTCACAGGGCAGGCAATGGGGGATGACAGCAGATGAAGAGCTGGCAGCACCTTTGTGGAAACCTCACGTACCCCAAGTCTCCTGTTGGACCTGAGGTCCTCCTGCGCCTCTCTTAAATGCTCTGTACCCACGCACAGGGGAGACTCCCCAGGGCTTTGCTCAGGCCAAAGCTTTTGGAGTGCTTCAAAACCTGTCACGTATAAAACCTACCCAATTCTGCCTGGTAAGGAGATAAGGGCTAGAGGGGAGGGTGGGTCCCAGCCAGGGAGCCCAAGCTGTGCTACCCAACAATGGGGCCAGCGCTGCCCAGGGGACCTTTCTTGGGCAGCCCTTCTCTCCCCCTAAGGACCAACCAAACCCATGTAATTCCCCTCCTGCTGACACCATCATCTCATAGATTACCTCAACTGAGCGAGCTTTAGTAGTCTTGGGAAGGGGGGGAGGCACCATGCCATGGGGAAGGAAAGCAGAGGGCTGCAAGCAGGAGCAGGATCCCGCCACTGCTGCTTCCACATTCCTTCGCTGGTGCCACCAGTTCCCACTTCCATCTGGCGCTGAAGAAGCTACTCCAGATTCACTGGAAAAGAACACAAGCAAGTGATGCGCCTTTGGCCAGCTTCAGGGCAAGGGGTGATGGTGTGCTGGGTGAGGATGGTGTGCTGGGTGAGGATGGGGTGCTGGGGGAGGATGGTGTGCTGGGAATGGGGAGTTGGGTAACAGCATGGGGACCAAAGTCATCTGCTGAGGGACAAATATCTGGGATGTCTATGACACACTCAGTGCCTGCCATCCATAGGAGAGAAGGAGATAGGTCATGAGCGTTAAATGCGAGACCACAAGGTGCAGGAGCTCTAGGGTACATCAAGCAGAGTCTCTGACCTGGCCTTGTTTCCTAAAGGGGCCTGGAGATGTCTTGGTGCCATGTTCATTTGGCCTGATGGAGGAGCAAGCTGTCCTCATCCACAGTGAGGAGCTCCTTTGCTGTGCTGTCTGCTCATGATCATCTCAGCCTCTGGGGAAAAGTTAATGATCAACCAGCAGGGCTGAAACTAATGGAGTGGAGATGTTCCAGCTGTTGATTAGCACAATTAAGAGATACATGAGGTTGTGGGTGCAGAGGAAACATGTCAATTTGAGTCAGAGAAGTTATTCCTTTCAGAAGCATGACTGCCCTGAAGTCCCTAGGTGCTCATCCTTCTCAGGGCTGCTCTAACAGGGTTGTTCCCCCAGCTCTTCACTACCGTGGGTATCAACACCAGCACAGCCAGTGGGCCTTGACTATGCCAAAATTTCCCACTCCAGCCCAAGGCATTTATTACTGGTGCTGAAGACACACCTGCCTTAGGGAAGAAAATGGCTTTGGTTTAGCAGGTGGTTGCTTAATGTGCAGTAGAAAACATGGTAAAATAGTTGCAGGGTCAACGTTGAGTGAATTTTCAACCTGTGAGCAAGTCAAGGTAAACATCAGGAGGTGGTGCAAGCTAAGCACGAGCAACTAATGCTCTTCTAGCACACCTTATAGGAAAACTTAATAGGATAGCACCTGTAAGAAATACTAACTCATGACTGATGGGATAATGCTGGCTTTGAGAATTTCGTGAAAATTAGAAGAAAGTCTCTAATTTCGAGAGCATCAAGTTCTGGTAACAAGCTTCCAGCGGGAGGACTTAGGACAAAAAGCACTTATCCCTAGAATGGAGACATGAAAGGGAAGGTGTGGGTGGCTTCCCAATCTAGTAGGGGACTGTATTTGGTGACCCAGCGATTCTACAGGTAAGTGAAACCATGCAGGTACAAACACGTCATGTTGAGCAACTGTCAGATCTCCCTGCTCCAGCCCTTGGCTGGCTCACATGGCTGTTTGCACTCAGGATCTTAATCCTTGGCAGCTCAGGATCCATTTCTGGATGCAGGGAGGAAGGGCAGTCCAGCTCAGCCAGCACATGGGTGTGCACTCTGGAGTGCCAATACCCGCTGCAGACACTGGAGGGAAAGTACCAGCATCCAGCATGACTCATAGGTCTGGCCTCAGAAGAGTATTTCAGGTGTGGATGAACTGCCCCTTGGAGCTGCTCCACTTCATAATGAGCAGCTTTCTCTGCTGATTATAAAGAGGAGGGTGACAGGCGCAGGCTCACACACTTCCGTTTTATGTGCTGTCAGGTCAGAGGTACCCTGACCTATGGAAACAAAGGTTTTGTTGTTGTTACACTAGTCGAACAGTGGCAGATCACGTTAATGTCTAAAAATACCCAGAGGAACCCTAAAACTAATGTGTGTACGCGCACTTGCAGCAGCCAACAGAGGAGCCCTTCTGAATACTTTTAAGGGAGAAATCAAGTGTCTCAGTGCCATCTTGTGGAATGATCTGTGTAAAAGGACAAGTAGTGGCAAGAGACATATCCAGTGATCCATTATGCCATCCTAAAAGCATGCTGGAGTTTTAGGGAATTTAGTGGTAATGTCTGGGATTATGCTGAAAATACTATCACCAAACCAAAGGTTTATATTGCAAACTGGGATTGCTTTTTTCCCTGAGAAAACTGCAAGTCCGTGGGAGCTTAGTGTTCCCAGAAATTAGCCGTTCCTGTTTTTCAGCCCAAATGAGAACACGGAGATGCCTATAGTTAATGCTTGAATGCAGGAGACAAAGCCTTTCAGAGCCCACAAGGAAGGAATCCACTTGTCAGGCTCCCTGAGATCTAGGAGTGAAAACCAAAGTTGTAGGTCCAGTTGTGGGGGATACTGACCCACTCACACCTCATCCATGTGAGGAAGGCTGTGAGATCTCCAATACACGCAGATGCCAGGACCTCAGCTTTACATGTCAGCTGGAAATTACCACGTGCAGAAGAAACTTGAGGCTCGTCACCACCCTGACCTGGTTCTCTGGGGACCATGCTTCTGTAATAACCAGCCAATAAACATCAGTATAGCAGAAAACGAAGAGACCTGGAAAGATTTATTGGCCACTTTTTCTGTGCCACAGCATGCTCACAGACTCACGGAACAGAGAAGCCTTCCCACGTAGAAATAAGCTGTAGGAACACCCTTGAGAGCAGTGAGATTATCACCTGTCATGATTAAATGGTCCTTAGTATCAGAGACAGATTAGTAAATTCCTGCATGTTTAGCCAAGTGTTCACTGAGGTCAATAGCTGATCTGTCGCAGGAGGAGGGCTTACCCCAATCCATAAAATCGTTCCCTGCCATAAAATAGACAGTCATCTGTCTGAAGGTGGCCTACTAGGATGCTGGGGAGGGACTCTTCATCAGGGACTGTAGTGGTAGGAAAAGGGGCAATAGGCTTAGACTTAAACTGGGGAAATTTAGGTTAGATCTAAGGAAGAAGTTCTTCACAGTGAGGTTGATGAGGCACTGGAACAGGTGCCCAGAAAAGTGGTAAATGCTCCATCCCTGGCAGTGCTCAAGATGAGGTTGGACAGAGCCCTGGGTGATATGGTCTAGTGTGGGGTGTCCCTGCCTGTGGCAGGGGGTTGGAACTAGATGATCTTAAAGTCTTTTCCAACCCAAACCATCCTACGATTCTATGGGGCAGAGAGGGGAATTGGGTTCCCAGGTTCTTCCATGCATCTGCTCAGTGTCCTGTGGGGGAAAGAAAAGCTCATGAACTTTTGCAATGCGTTAGTGCAAATGGATACAACACCAGAGGCAGCAGGAGCAGAGCACTGCATCCTCACCGTGGAAGCTGTTGGTGACCCTCCCAGATCTGTGAACCATGTCCTCTCCAGAGCAACACTGGGAAGCTGCAGTGGGTTGAGAGGAAGGTGGAGAAAACCAGCAAGGAACCAGATGAGGCTCACAGGAAGAGGTCTTGAGTGCTCATGGTTTACACTTTTCAGTGATTAAGCAAAGGTATTAAAACTTCTTCACAGTGGAGAGGTAAGAGCACATGGTGAGCAGGGAGATAACCAGAGGGAATCAGGAGAAGGACAAGGAGTCAACACAATAAGGGCTCTGCTCTGGCAGACAGATGGGATCAGAGGTCTCTGGGACCATTGCTGAGATGGGTGTTCCCTTGCCCCAGATGAAGGGACAGACTGGAGGAGGGCAGCAGGGAGGCTCTGCACTAGTGTGGGTGGACACAGGTACATTCAGCAAGAGTAAATATTCAACCTGAAGCAACACTCAAGGCATTGTGCTCTTCCCAGCTGCAGGTAGTGGTGCACACCAGCTCTAGGGAGAGCATCATCCCCAAAGGCTGGGCATTCAAATATCCTGCAAAGCACAGGCAAACAGTCCTGCTCTCATCTGTTAAAACAAAATGGCACGAAACCACCAGCCAGTGAGTTACAATGCAGAGCAGAGCCAAAATTCCTGATCGCTACCTGTGGACAAGGTTATGGAGAAAGATAGCCTTTAGGAGCACACCAAGGCTATTTATAGCTCCACTGCTTTGGAGATAGGCTGCTCCTGGGCAGGTGCACAAGTGTTTGCAAAGCCCGGTAGCAGAAGTACTGCATCCTCATCATATAGTTTTAAAAGGATGGCATTTGTGTGTGGGAAGACTTCGAAGCTGTCCGCTTCTTTATTGGCCTGTTCATCGTTAACCAAATGAACAAAGGTGTCTGGGGGTGAAGGGAGGTTGCCAAGTTTCAAAGGGTAACGTGGCTCAGAGAAACAAAGTGTGCTGTCACAATAGGAGCTGCCGTGGCTGCAGTCTGGAGGCAGAGAGCAAAATGCTGGAGAAGATTCAGAAGGCGCTCACGATTCGTAGTGTCACCATCAGGGAGATGCTGGCAGAAGCGCTGGGGATGTACATCCTCATGGTAAGGAAGCAATGGGCCAGATGTGCATGTGCATGTGTGTGTGTGCAGGGAGGGTGAGAGGGTAAGTGTTTAGAAGCTGTAAGGTCAATAGTTTCCTACCACATCCTCAGGGTTGCTCAGCATCTGGTTGCTACTTCTTACCCCTTTGCTCTGGTGGGGTGCAGCTTCCCACCAGGAAGACATCTGCCTAAACCTTATGGATGAAAAATGCAGTGTGGAGAGTGGGAGGTTGCCACTGGGAGCAGTTGGAGATAAAAGCATAGAATTGCTTAGATTGGAAAAGACCTTTAAGATCATTGGGTCCAACCATTAACCCAGGACTGCCAAGGCCACCACTAAACCTTGTCCTCAAGTGCCACATCTGCACATCTTTTAAATACCTCCAGGGATGGCGACTCCATCACTGCCCTGGGCAGCTTGTTCCAATGCCTCAGCACTCTCTCTGTGAAGAAATTGTTCTTAATATCCAACCTGAACCTCCCCTGGCACAGCTTGAGGCTGTTTCCTCTTGTCCTGTCACTTGTAATTGGGAGAAGAGACCGACCCCACCTCACTACAACCTCCTTTCAGGCAGTTGTAGAGGGCAATAAGGTCCCCCCTGAAGCTTCTCTTCTCCAGACTAAACCCCCCAGGTCCCTCAGCCGTTCCCCATCACACTGGATCTCCAGACCCTTCACCAGCCCTGTTGTCCTTTTCTGGGCACTCTACTGTTTCAGTTCTCTGAAAACAGTTCTCTGAATAAAAGGAGGGTAAGACTGGGAATGTGACCAAAGAGCAGAATCTGGTCAGATGGGACAACCCAATGCTTGTGCCAAACCCCCTGAGAGATCCCATGCAGTGAACTGAGGCTTTTCTACTTGCTGTCCCAGAGGTGATGGGGTGGCTGGGGGGTCCGGCACAGGTTTGGGGATCAGACCCTGAATCCTTTACCACTGACAGCCTCTGTGAAATGAGAGCAGTTTTCATCTGTCTTCCTGTTAGGGTTGCCAGGGTAATGAATGCCTGTAAAACTCTCTGGAACCACAACCCACCATTACAGCATGCTTTACAGCTGTAATTACCAGCTTGTAAAGCATGCTAGGATTTCACTTTTGGTTTTCTTACGCTGGCAGATGAATAGTGTTTATCTATATCATACAGAAACTCAGCCCTTGCCTGAAGGATCTGTTTCATGTAGAAAAAGAGACATGGTTTTGAGCTCTTGTGCTGCTTTGGTGGTATTTGGGGAGTGGGTGAGGAAAGCTTTGCAGACAGAATTGACCCCTGGCTGGGGTGAGGTGCCCACCAGGACCAGAGCCTTCATGTGTTGGACCATCATATACAAATGACATCCTCCCTCTGAAAAGACCTAGAAGCTGTCTGTGCCAACTTACTATACCTGGGCATAGCCTGGGCTGAGATGCTTGGGACTGGACAGAGGCAGGCACTGGAAGGGTTGGGGATAGCCCCAAAAATTTGTACTTGGAGATGTGCACAGGTGGAAGATGAGGTTTGTGTGAGCATGGGGACCTTCAGACTAAGCTGTCTGACACAAAGGTGCTTATTTTCAAGGGCAACGACTGCACATGAAAAGGACGCTTGCACATCCAGCTCCTTGAGGTTCAGCCCTACTACACATGTAGCTTTACATGCATTGGAAGTCTGAGTACAGACATCTGTGGCTCCTCAGCAGGAGCTGAGCAAACCATTTTCCTTTCCATCCCCTTTGCTTTTTGGTGGCGGAAGTTCCCAGGTGATAAAGTTCAGAGGTGTCCTGCCTGGGCTGCCTCTAGCAAGCAGCATGAGGAGACTTTCCCCTGCACTCTGACAGTCCAAGGTAGATTTTGTAGCCTGTGGCTCGCTCTGACTTTCCTTTCACTGATCCCTGTAAGGGAATAAAGTAGGAGGAGGGACACTACACATGGACCCCTATCAAGGGCTGGCAACAAATAGCATTCAGCACTTAGATGTAGCACCCAGCAGCCCCCAGGCCTTCAGTGCAACCAGGAGTGTGCTGGATACATGTCAATGATGCCTGGATGGCTGTTATTTGGATGATAGTGCTCAGCCCAGGGCTTCTTGCTTTAATGGGCAGGCAGGTTCATAAAGGAGGGAACTAGTAAACAGCACGAGGAGTGGGGAGGTAGGGAAATAAATAGGGTATTTTGGAACTAGGAGAATAGAGGAAGAGACCATAGGTCTGGATCTGTCCTGAAATACACATATTTCAGGATACTGGTGTTCAGCCATGTCTCCTTCATTACGCCCCTCTCTCTGCACCTCCGTGCTGTCCTACAAAACCTGTGCATTATGCATTTGGCTTCTCTTGGATGTGGCTTTGGAAAGTCAGAGATGAGTAGGCAGATTTTGTGTAAGGGCTTTGCAGATGCTGGAGAACATCCCAAACAGTGCTTTTTTTGGATTTTGGTGGGTTTTGCTGGGGCAGACAAAGAGGGGCTCACACAGAGAGTGTGCTTTATGTTTACGAAAGAAATACGAACAGTGTCCCTGGGGAACAGGGGGTTTGGTGATGTCTGGAAGGGAAGAGGGAGAGCACATGTATGAGACAAAATTTGGATCCAGGCAGAAAAGATCACAGTCAGAAAAGACAGAGCACAAGTTTAGATGCTGGTGAACACATTGACATTTTTGTCTTGGAGGGACATGCCACCCTGGATAAACAGCAGTCTAGTCCAAGAAGCAGGATACACTCTCCAATCACCAAGTGGTTTCTGAGGTAGACACCTCAAGAGAAGCTTTGTCCTTCTCCAGATTTCAGTGTAAGACCTGTGCAAAGAACTGATTTTTCCACCATCTGAACACATTTAAAAAGCAAAATAGAATTTACTTTCAGGCCAGAGCAATTTCTTGAATATGCCTTTTCCTGCTGGAGAGTGTTTACTTTGCTGCTGAAATTTTTTTCCTGGTTCCACTTTAGTCACTAAAAAAATATTGAAACTTTGGTTGTTTTCAAACTGAATGTGTGTGTGTTGAAAGGAAAAGTCAAAACGGAATTTCCTTCTTCGTTTTTTTTTTCTCTGGAATAAGGATCAAAATTAGAGTTGGGTTTGGCAAATAGCTGTGTGCTGCCCAAACTACATTCTTAGTCAACAAATAGAACATCAGGGAAAGAGAGACAAAAAGAATTTGCCCACTGTCCTTCCATCCATCTTGGGCATTGTCTCCCGATGCTTTGGTGATGCTCCCCTGGCTCACGTCCCTGGTTTCAGGCACAGATGCCTTTACTGTGGCTGTGGATGTGATCCCTCTTGAGCCCCAGATCTTGATGTGGTGGTTTGGGGTTTGTCTCACCACATCCAGTGATGACTAGAGTGCTTGTTTTGGTGTGATGGGCACCAGTGAGGAATAACCCATCTACTGCTTCAGTCTGTGCAGGGGAGGCTCATTCTTCATCTCCTGACCATGGGCACCTTAGAGTCTTCCTGTCTTGGGGACTTTATTAGTATTGCAGAAAAACTATTAAAGAAGCTCTGTCCACCACAGCAATGAAGGTACTTCTAACACTCCTTTCTCTCTTTCTTTTTCCATGCACTAGGTCTTTGGCCTGTCTTCTGTGGCACAAGTGGTATTAGGAAGACAAAACTTTGGGCAGCATCTGAGCATCAATTTGGGATTTGGCATTGGTGTTACCTTGGGCATCCATGCGGCTGGAGGAATCTCTGGTGAGCAGGACACTTGAGCCTGGGACATCTCTATGTCTCATAAGGGCCATGTGCATCGGGGGCAGCAGGAGCGGGATGTGGAGGGGTGGGTGATGTCATGGCAAGGTGAAATAGTGCCCTCACCCGAAGTCAGGGCAGTCTTAGGGTCCCCAAGCAAGAAGAGCAGAGCAGGTTTGGTGACCATAACCAGGGTCAGCCTTGTGACACAATGATCACATCCAAGTCCATAGGGAGGAGGCAGGTCTGAGGTCAAGCCAAGGTGTCCCAGTGGTGCAGCGAGGTCAGGAGAAGCAGGGAACAAGGCAGTCACAGCATACATAAAGAATTCTGATCCCAAATGCATGTCCTGAGATGAGGCAGGGGCAAGAGGGACAGGGACAGTGGTGGATGTTCAGCCATCCCCTCCTGTTGTGGTCAGCAGAGCCTGGTTTCAGCAGTGCCCCTGTTAGGCGCATGGGATATAGCATCATGGCCCAAGGAGAGAAGAAGGTCTGAAAGCATGCTGCTGGTGTGACCCATGGGGAAGTAAATACTTTATTGCAAAGGAGAGCTTACCTCTGATGTTGCAACAAGGAATGGTATGCAAATTTTGTCCTTATCATCCACACCCATGGGCACACACCCCGCAAGAACTCAGGAGGTGGTGTTTCAGGGCCATGGAGTGTTATCTCTCACATGACAAGGGCATTACCTTTGCCTTGTGGAATTTCTGCATTTGTTTGCACCAAGAGAAGACATTAGGGGCTCTAGCGGGCAGAAAATTAAAGCAAGTCCTTGCTCTTGAACTGCTGGAGCAGAGAGATGTCCAAGGCTGGCTTGAAGAGGAAAATTATTCCATGCAAGCAGCCAGTTCATGGTCTCCCTGTCCTTTTGGAGCTGGTGGAGACATCCTGGGGAAGTGGGCTGAGGAAAGTAGGTCCCTGCAGTTCCAGGTGACATTTGAGATGGAGGGATTGGAGGTGAAAGAAAGGGTCTCAGATCATCCAGCAAGAGTCTGGTTCAAAAGCCAGCTTCAGGGCTTCCTGGCACTGTAATATGGCATCATTTGTGCCACAGGATGCTTCTTGTGATCTTTGAAATGCCTGGTCATGATGGCAAAGGATCAGAGAGTCAAAGAAAAAGGGACCTCCCCCATGTCGGTTGTGGCAGTACATGCACTTTCACTTCACTCTGTCCTGTACTTTGATGAGGTGATGTGTGTCTGGATGTTACTCTTTCCGAGTCTGGAGTCGGAGATGGCCACTAAGACTGGAACATTTATTGACCTCCAAAGTTTACACCTACCAGGCAGGAAAAGCAAGTATTTCCTTTGGACTCATGGGGAGATGAGGCCCAGAGAACAAATGTAGTTTGCACTGAGGGCACCATTGGATACCAAACTCCTCCATAGAAAGTGCCCCCTCTAAACAGGGATGTAAGGAAATGCAGTCCAAGATTACAAACTCTGCAAGGGAAGGACAGGGTCTGCTTCACACTACTGGGAGCAACCATGGTCTGGGCATGAGTAACCATCCTGGTAACCCCCTTCTCAATGCAGTGATATCTAACAGTTAACCTGAGTCCCTGCAGCTCCCATCAGCTGGGGTGCTCAGGTCTGCCAGAATGAGGCCCTCTCTTGAGATTGTTTGGAATAAGATTTGCCTCATCTATCTGTAGCTATATAAAAGGTGGGTGATCAGTCTAAGTTCTGGGCTCCCCTTAAGCTGAATAGAGAGAAACCTATATAGAGATGCGTCTCTGGCAGTTGAAATGACCCACTCTCTGAAGGCAGCCTGTGGTCTACAGAGTTTTAAGAAAACTAAAGCTAGGAGCTCTCTAATCCGCATCATTCAGTAGCCCAAGGAAAGCCCAGGCCAGTTTTGAGGGACCCTGCCCTGACAGAGTCTTGGTGTCCTGGATCAACATCTGGGTGGTTGCTGTGGGGTGCGGGGCATGCTCCAAAACAGCTGTATCAGGGCTGAGGCCAGTTTCTTTTGCTGTGATTTTGCAGAAGCTCATCTGAATGCTGCCATCACCATCACACACTGCATTTTAGGAAGTCTCCCTTGGACAAAGCTCCCGGCTTATCTGATCGGCCAGTTCCTGGGCTCCTTTACAGCAGCTGCCACTGTCTTTGGCCTCTACTATGGTATGGTTGTGTGTTTTACCTCAGGCTTTCTTGTGGGCATCATTTCAGTCTTAACTCACAGTGTGTCAATAAAGACTTCCTTTTGCAATGCCCAGCATGATGGCTGGGTGAGAAAGGTGAGGTCCTCGCTTGTGGGACAGACCTTCATAGCTCCAGATCAGAGCAGGGTGCACATACCTGTGGGAAGGATGTGCAGTTCTTGGAGAACATAGCTCCTTTTGCTCAGGGCATTCCCATTGCTAAAACCTGCCCTCAGCTCAAGGCCAGGAGCTGCATTTTGTCAGCTTTCTGTTTCCAAAAGTCTGCAAGGGCTGAAGTTAAATACCATGTATTAGGCACAGCTGAAGCTCTGGGGGACTCTGCTGGTCCGTGTATAACAGGACAGCAGACATCTGTGGTTTTGAGTTGTGAGTAGAGGACCCACCACCCAATGGCTCCAGCACGCCTCAGTCTCTGAGAGGCAGGGGATGGAGGCCTCCAGTGCATCCAGAGCATCCAGCCTGCCCCAGGCTCCCAGAGCAGGGACACGGAGTTGGTAGGTTTAAGGAAGCAACTGCAAACCAAAGTCTGCAGTTGACAGGTATGAGTGAGATCATGCCCTGCCTGGGGTGCGTCACGTCCACTGTATCTCCCATTGCCTCTCTTCCTCTTGGTGTCCATGCTGGCTGCAACGCGTGGACTCATGTATGTGCCATGATCAACTCTGCTAACTCCTCTAATTCCCGTTTCTCCTAGATGCTCTGCACGAATACACCAAGGGGAACTTCACAGTGACAGGACCTACGGCCACGGCGTCGATCTTCTCCACCTACCCTGCTCCCTATATGTCCTTGCCGGGAAGCTTCTTCACAGAGGTCAGTGGGGACTGCTGCCATGTGCTGGGGGAAGGCTGGTGGTAACAGTGTGCAGACACAATCACAACCTCTACTCCAAGGAGCCCACCATCCAGAGCAGGTGCCTGACAGGTAGGATCCAAGGCACCTTGGTGGCTGAGCAAGCCTACAAGGTAATGCCTGCAGGCTTGGTCCCAGTGCCCTCCAAACACCTTCCCTGCATGCATCCCAGGCCATGGGAAGCTGAGCTGTATCATGAACCATCTCCTTTGGGCTCTGTGCAATTCTCTGAACTCTTCTTCCTCTTCCTGGATCCTACACATGCTCTGTCCTCATGGGCAGCTCTGCCTGCTGCCCCTCACCAGTACGGAGCACCCAGGGCTGCCTTCATGTAGAATCATAAAAAGGTTTGGGTCGGAAAGGACCTCAAGATCATCCAGTTCTAACCCTGCTGCCATGGGCAGGGGTGCCTCCCATTAGACCATGTCACCCAAGGCTCTGTCCAACCTGGCCTTGAACACTGCCAGGGATGGAGCATTTACACTTCTTTGGGCAACCCATTCCCGTGCCTCACCACCCTCACTGCAAAGAACTTCTTCCTTATATCCAACCTGAGCCCAAGGCTCTCCAGCTGCATGTTCTGAAGCAGAAAGAGACAGGAGTCATCACCTGTATTCAAACAACAGTCCTGACATCTTGGGCACTACAGATCTACAACTGCCGGCTATGTATTGTCACAGGTGGGAGATTCAGTGTCCCAGAGGAGAATCTCCTATATGCTTTTAGTCCTGAAAGGGCTGATGCAACAGGCTATATGAAACCTCACTCCTTCTAGGAAGGAACAGATTTGTCTTGTTAGCAGGTTTGTGATGGGTCTGCCTCTGTCAGATGAAATGTACTTAAAATAACCCATGTCCCTAACCTGAAAGTTGGGGGGACAAGATGGTGCTGAGAAATTTGTATCAGCATTTGTAGAGCATTTTTGGTGATGAGGTGGAGGTATTTCTGCTGGGAAATAAGTAAACGATTTTATTCCATCCACCTGTGAAGCAGGAAAAAGATCAAGGTCCGCCCCACCTTGATCAGATCATGAATCCCAGCTGCTCTTTCAATCTGGGAAGTCTCTTCCTCTCTGTGGAGGAAGGTCCTTCTGCATTCCCCATTCTCCCTACTGACCTGTTGTTCCTTTCCTGCTCCTGCAGTTTCTAGCAACAGCGATGCTGCTCCTGGGCATTCTGATCATCCACGATGAGAAAAACAACGGGGCCCTGAAAGGCACACAAGCCCTGCTCACGGGTATCCTTGTCCTGGGCATCGGCCTGGGGATGGGGATGAACACAGGCTATGCCATAAACCCCTCCCGGGACCTGCCTCCCAGGATCTTCACAGCAATTGCTGGCTGGGGAACTGATGTCTTCACGTGAGTGACCCGCTTTGCTTTTACACTGCTCAGCTTGCAGTGAGAGCAGATGCCAAGCCCAAGACAGAATGACCACAAAGACTTTTTCTTTGGGCCAAGTGATGATGGTGTCAGTGCAGAGTGCGTTCTCCATTCTTAGAGAGCAAAAGTTGTGCATAGAGGAGGCTGGTGCACTATGTGCACAAAAATCTGGGTACACTAATTCTCTGCATGAGATTCATCTTGACATTTGGACTCCTCAATTTGGGCACCAAATTGGCCACCTCTTAGCTGGAGGTCTAGGTGGTTGCATCGCAGTGGCTGGAAAGCCAGAGAGTGAGTGATTCAGCTCACATGAAACCAGGTACTTACAGCTGTATTACTGAATATCTCTCTTAAATTTAGAGGTCTGAATCTGGAGATGAAACTCTGCCTTCCCCTGCTTACTGATGGTGCCATGCTATGGCTTTTCCCATGGTGAGGGCATTAGCAGAGTCTCCTGCCCATTAATCTCATTAAATTTCCAGAAAATAAGCGTGAGAGCTTGGTAGAGGAGGTGCAGATGTTACTGGAAATGGGGAGGGAAAAGAGGTGTGTGTGTCTGTCTGACAGTCACACTCATCAGGATCACGCAGACTATCTCTATAGGAGAGCAAGAAACCTGCAGACAGTGCACCAACACATTTCCAAGGAGGAAAATGATCCTCCCTCCAGCAGTTATGCTGGTGGGTAGGATGTAGGGCCCAGTATGTGAAGGGGGACTAGACACCTCTGCTCACACAGCTCACTCCTGCCCCAGCAGATGTGGCAGTAGGGCAGCAGTTCCAATATGGCTCATCGGCTGCCTCTTCTCTGTTTCATTTCAGGGCTGGACATCACTGGTGGTGGGTCCCACTCACAGCACCGATTCTGGGAAGTCTGGCTGGTGTTTTCATCCACAAAATCTTCATTGATTTTCATAATCTACCTGTCACAGGAAGTGAGAATGAGAAAGGACAGAGAACGGTGGAGGTTTCTACGCTGTGACGGCCACATGTTCTGAGGAAAGGACTTGACATCAAAGCCTAGGTGGATGTATGGACTGACAGCCAAAGGGTAAACAAGTGGATAAGGGCATGTGCAATGATGCTGCCAGAGCACACCACTTCTCTACCCCGCAGGTGGAGAAATGTGGGACCAGTTTTCAATAAACTCTGTTTAAGCAGACAAATTCGGTCTCTGACACATTGGGCAGACCTGGGTAGGGCTAGACCTGTTTGTGACCTGAAGAAACTACTCAGTGTCCCTGTGTAAAAGTCTGCCAAAGATAAAATCATCACAATCTGGAGAAAAGCAAAACAGAGCTGCAAGACTCCAGATACCTGTACGTTCATAGAATCATAGAATGGTTTGGGCTCGAAAGGACCTTAAAGATCATCTAGTTCCAACCCCCTGCCATAGGCAGGGAGACCTTCACTAGATCAAAACACAGTATATAACAGTGGCAGAAACACCTTAATTAACTTAAACAAATTTTGATCTGGAATATTCTTTGGTAAGAGGTAAATACTGAGGGATGAGAGGCTTAAGCTTGCTTCTGTTTGATAAACCCTAACAAACACCTGGTTTGGCAGAGCATAAAGAGCAAGGATAGTCTGAAATACAAACGTGAACCTGTTTTATTTTTTTCGTGCTTGTTTTTTTTTTCCCTTTTGATCTGAACATTCAGGAAGCACCAAAAAATTAGTAAACTAAGCCACAAAGTTTCCTCATTTCTGGCACTGCTCTACTGGAACATGTTGGTGTCATGGAATTATGTGTGTTACCAACAGGCTGGACTTTAACTACCATCATATGAAAGGATTCAGACCCAAACACTCAAATAAACAAAAACCAAAACCAAAGCTCTTTTCCCACTCTACATGCATGAGAAATGTGGGAAGAGGCTGCCCTGTTGCTGTAGGAAGTCTGCCACCTCCATCTAAATGAGGAAGTGGACCTGCAAGAGCCTTTCATGATTGAGGTATCATCAGAATAAAAGTAAAACAGTATCAGAAGTTTCCTGTCACCAGCAGGGTAACAAGAGTCTTAACTTTCCTAGGCAGTGCTTAAGCAAGTATAGTATGCATGTCAAGCACATGACTGCAGTCCCAGGGTGCTATGAACACACAATACAGGGATCTCCGTGAGTAGGAAGTAAAAGAACATCACTACTGCACAGAATTCCAGAAAATAACATTTACTGGCTTTAATGATTGTTCACATCTATTAATATAGTTATAGGCTGGACCAGATGATCCTTGAGGTCCTTTCCAACCTTGTATTGTATAATTCTATTAAAAGGACCACTAACGTGGTGTGGGGTGGTAGGTACTGACATCTCTGCTTCCTCTTTGAGCTGACCTTATGTTAGTAGAGCACCCACAACAGATCTTCACCTGGCACAAGATGCACATCAGCTTCAGAGGGCTGAGGAGCATTAGAGGATTTTCTCTCTCTTGGGGGTGGCAAAAGGCAGCTGTCAGGCAATGCAGAAACTGCACTTGAGGGTGAGCCCTGGACAGTGCTGGAAACCAAGCACAGCATGCCAGAGCTGGGGCTGATGGATGCAGAGACTTTGAACACCAAGTGGACGACAGAAGTGTGTTGAACAGCTGTCAGACAGCTGAGTCTTTTGGGCTATGTGAACTAAACTGGGAACTTCAGAGTAGCTCTGGATGGGATTAGCTAAAAGACACTGTAATCCACCCCTTCTCAGTGAGACTGTCCACTGCATTAGAAAAAAACCCCAACAAACGAAACAATCCAACTTGTGCCCTCCTTTTACCATACATGCTTGTACATGTGCTCCCAAAGCATCTTCAAATACCCAATTACTCTGAAGGAAAACATTAAATTCTTTATTAAAATACTACTAAGCGCTTACAGGCTTCCTCTTTCTGAAGGCCATACAAATACTTGTGAAAGCCTCACAATGTCCCTGTGAGGTAGGTTTGTATTATGTAATTATGTGACTGCTTCACAAATAAAAGATGATACTGCTTAAATAATCAATGCTTACTTGAAGATGGTTACTTTAATTTCCCTGCTTAGGCACAAAATGTGTGGGTGGCTACCATGTGTTTCCAGCACACCTAAGAAGACTGAATAGCACAGAAAAGTAATGGAAATTGTAAATAAATACCAGCAGGTATTTAATAAATAAAATGTGTAAATAAAAAACAGCAGTGGATGGATTAAAGTGCAGTTCTAACCTGACGACTTAGAGTATTAAAACAGCATCAGGAGCTTCTAAGGCTGTTGGGCCTCAGTGGGACCAGGTCAGATCCTGCCTAGTTGAAAAGTGACAAAGGCTGTTTGAATGGTCAACTTTGCAAATGAATGTATGACAAAACAAGGGGTCCTCCTGGCTACGGGACTCTCAACATCACTGACCCAGTGTTTCAGCAATTCCCACAACAGGAGAAACCAGAGGCAGTGAGGGATCTTGCAGCTTCTGGCTACCTTCAGGCTTACTGGGAAGGACATCACACAGACTTGACTACCTGAGAAGATATGGCACAAAGGTCAAAAATGAAAAGGGTGAGGTACTTAGTGCTGCCTTTGCCTCAGTCTTTAATAGTCACACCTGCCACCCTGAGGGTACTCAGATCCCTGAGTTGGATGGCAGAGATGGGGAACTGATTGAAGTCCTCATAATTCAGGAAGAAATGGTTAGCAACCACTTAGTTAGGTTCCACTTAGATGTACACAAGCCTATGGGGCTGGATGTGTGACACCCAAGAGTCCTGAAGGAGCTGGCAGAGTAGTTTTCCAAGCCACTCTCCATTATCTATCAGCAGTCCTGCTCTAGTGGGTGGGTCCCAGGGGATTGGAGGATGGCCAACATGATACCTCTCTACAAAAAGAGCAGGAAGGAACCCTGAAACTCCAGGCCTGTCAGCCTGACCTCAGTGCTGGGGAAGGTCACGGAGCCCATGATCCTAAGTGAGATCATAAAGCACATGTGAGCAATCAGGCCCAGCCAGCATGGGTTCATGAAAGACAGGTCCTGCTTGACCAACCTGATCTCATTCTACAATAAGGTGACCCTCCTAGTTGATGAGGGAAAGGCTGTGGACATTGCCTATTTGGATTTTAGTAAAGCATTTGACACTCTCTGCCACAGCGTTCTCCTGGAGAAACTGGCTGGGAGTGCTGACAGATAGCCAGCTGAGCATAAACCAGCTTATGCCCAGGCAGCCAAGAAGACCAACAGCATCCTGGGCTGTATCAGCAGCACTGTGGCAGCAGGGCCAGGGCAGTGATCATCCCCCTGCACTGGGCACCGGTGCGGCTGCACCTCAAATCCTATGTTCAGATCTGGGCCTCTCACTTCAAGAGAGACATCAAGGTGCTGGTGTGGGGCCAGAGAAGGGCAACGGAGCTGGTGAAGGGTCTGGAGCACAAGTGTGATGAGGAACGGCTGAGGGACCTGGGGGGTCTGGAGAAGAGAACTTTCAGGGGGGACCTTATCGCTCTCTGCAACTGCCTGAAAGAAGGTTGTAGTGAGGTGGGGTTGGTTTCTTCTCCCAAGGAACAAGTGATAGGACAAGAGGAAACAGTCTCAAGCTGTGCCAGAGGAGGTTTAGACTGGATATTTGGAACAATTTCTTCACAGAAAGGGTGCTCAGGTGTTGGAGCAGGCTGCCCCCAGGGCAGTGCTGGAGACACCGTCCCTGAAGTGTTCAAAAAACATGTAGCTGAGGCCCTCAGTGACATGGGTTAGTGGTGGCCTTGGCAGTGCTGGGGTAATGGTTGGACTTGATCTTAAAGGTCTTTTCCAACCTAATTGATTCTATGATTCCAAGTGGTCTGGGCTGTAGAGCAAGCAACTAGGTCAGTGCAGAGACATTGAAGCCCAAGGTCTCTTTGAACCATGACTCTGAGAGCAGAAGTTAGAAGGAGCACAGGGAAGTGCAGAGTTTGATTCTGTCAGAAGCAAAAAGCATATCTTTGTTCAGTGGGTTCCAGGCTAATCCATAGCATGCAAGGTCAGGACAGGTTTCTTTCAAAGGAGATAGCAGAAATATCTTCATACACTGTATTTCAGCATGGGTCTATTAAAGTAATGGTGACTTACATTTGCTTTCATTTCATTGCTGTAGCTGCACAAGAACAAAAGCTTCCCAATAGAGCAGTGACATCAAGGGCTTCTTCATGCCCTCTGGAAAGTACATGCTGCAAGTAGCAGAAGGAAATGAAATCAATGTCTCAAGTTTTTTTCTCACAGTCTCAAGAAACTATATCCCTCCCATGTTAAAGTACATTGTGGCTGTATTTCATGCAAATGCTGCAATGTGTTTTCCACAGGCATATCTATTCATGCACAAGGAACTCAGTCTGAACCACTGACTCTGCATTGGAGAACATCAAAGCTTGTTGCAAATGCTGTTGAGGGTCAGATCTGGGGGTCTCACTTCCTTGAAGAATTCCCAGCTAGCGAGGATGTCTTGGAGGAGGTCATGCTCGTGTGACTCTTTTGGGCGCCAGCTGGCTGGGAAGGTTGTTTCTTTTTGATCACTGGTGTTTTGTTCTTGCTTTTAAATACCTTATTGGGGTCCAGCTTGTTCACAAAGGAATCAGCTTCTTCAGAGAGGAGAGATGTGTTGATGGTTATGGGTTTATACATGTTAAACCATTGCTGAAAGGCAGGATGGTGGGGAAGGAAGAGGTTAAAATCAGACTGCAATTAGACATTTCTGCCCTGTTCCCCCTCCCTCCTGAGACTTGATTTTGATCATACACCACTTATCAGTTGCAATTTACAGGACTGCACAGAGTGCCTTGTGATAAGGATACACAAGGCACAGCAACAGTCCTGGAACTGCCCCACATTCCAGACAGAGAAGAGGAGAACCAGACACAAACCTAAAACTACCTTTCCTGCAGTGTAACTCCTATCAGGAGCAACTCTTGATTTAAACAACAGGAGGAAAAGCAAAGGGAGGGGTTGAAACTAAACCACACTTACTCAAATTCAGACAGACAGAAGAGATTTAAAATCCTTGGAATTTAAATATGCTTATGAATTGAAACCAAACTAGTTGAACTCTTAAAATACAGCCTCTCTCCCTCTCTTTGCACATACAACAATGCCGATTTTTTAACTCTTTACGCAAAGGATTTTGTGTTTATTTCTCTTTGGTTGGATTTTACATCTAGAAGTGACCATAACAAGTTTTTTTTTTTGGTTCCCAGATGCAGTCCTCATCTTTGGTGTTTTTCCTATCAGTTTTCCATTGTCAAAATCAGGAAATAAAACTGTGGGCATTATGGCATTACAAATCCCACTGAAACTGTAAGCAAAATGTTGAGTAAGATAAACAAAAGATCAATATGAAAATGTAGATGGCAATCTCTTCATGTACTGCTTAACGGAAAACAGCTTTAATATGCCACCCCTGAAGACCTTTAAAAATGATAATGGTTAACACGCTAGGAGGATTTTAACTAGCAAAGGAGGCAAAAGATTAGGGAATACATGAATGATTTCACTAAGGTTTGTGAATATACTGAACATAACAAAATATTCTAGTAGGAAAGCTACAGAGAGGCAGAGCACAGACATATGCTAGAGTACCACGTGCACAGCCTCCACTGATAAAGTAGAGCACAGTGTAACAGGGAAGACACCAGAAATACAGAGAACAAAACTCTATAGCCACTGATAGATGGAAAGTTGGCAGTGATTTAGTGAGTAGTTCTGATGCATGCAGATATCAAGGCAGGACCAAGGAATGTCATGCTGGTAAGACAGCTGGCATGTCTGGGTGAAGTGCAGGACTCTCATTGAGACCTGCCTGGCCTTGCCAGCATGCACAGACATTGTACTGACTTATCTGCTGTGTTCAATAGTATTGTCAGTTCCATTCCCCAGCCACTCACAAGGCGGAATGAGGGTTAGGGCTGAAGGCCCAGTCTAACACTGAGGAATGGCAGGTGCTTCTAATAGCAGGGTCCTTGCAGAGCAGAATAGCAGTTTTAATAATAATAATCAGGGGCTGGAATGGTCACAAGGCTGTACCTGAAGCTCTCCTACAACTACTTCTAGGACCGATAGCATTTAAATTGCCCCTTTTTTTGGCATCATTTTCATCAAGGCATCCCTTCATGACTGAGGAGGATGCAAAGGAATTGGTATTCTTGGCAGGGCTCAAGCTCATAGTCTTCTCTGGGCTTCAATCTCATTTGTACTTGGGCTTTCCTCTTCACCCAGAGAGCAGTAGGCTCTCATTTGGTACTATGCACAGAGAACTGTTCTAGACAATCTTACATAGCTGTGGGGATGATTGGCTTTACATCTCCTCAGTTGCCAACAGTCTCGTAAGTGGAGGTTTGCTTCGGAGTCAAGAAAGCACAGAAATAATTGGGGTTTCACTACCTGCTGTTAGAGATCAAAGGTAGATCCCAACTCTGGTGAGGAAAGCAGGGTTAACACAAAATGTTAGTGAATTCACTAACATAAATGAATGACTGTTAACATGATATAGGGGAAAGACTCATGGCCCCTTCCATGGCTCATTAAGGAGGCCCACTCAAGACTACAAACTGCTTGTCAAAAGGTGGGAAGATGTTTTTACATCTATACTCGTGCAAAATACTGATGAGCTGTCCTACCTTGGCCTGGGGGCTGACCCCATAGCTGGTGAAGGCATACTGCCACTGTGGAAGACCCAGGTGGGTAATGAGCAGGCGGTAGTAGGCTGTGAAGGTTTTGGTGAGGAAATGCCAATACAGAGCTCTGTCCAGGAACCATATCTCTGTGTCTGGGGAGACAACTAGAACATCACAAACACAGATTACACTGTTGTTTTGCAGTGGTAAGATCAACCCCTGGCCATTGACAGGTGGGAGACACAACACACTTAGCAGAAAGGCTGCAGCTTCTAAAACACAGCATCCCTGACTAACACAGACGATTATCCAAAGGCAATATGGTTTAACTGTTAGAGCATGGGGACTGAAAAAGACTGGTTCTGCTACCAGCTTTACTAAAAATTCTCGTGCAATATCCATTGTACTGACTTTCCCCACCATACAATGGATGCAATGCAGTTCCTTCCCAACCTGGAACTGATACGCTGCATGGAATATGCTTGGACATCAGCAACTTCGTAGCGTTAAGTTCAAAGTACAATTATGGCAAACATTTATCTACCCCACAAAGTAAAAAGCAACTAACTCAATTGTCAGTCATCTGGATTACTGAATAGAGTCCAGAGTCTGGAAGTCTTGGGACTGTGTGCTGCCAACAAAAACACATTTTGCAAATCCTTCCACCGTGATCAAGTATTTCTTTGGTGGGTACATCCTTTGTAGCATAAAATCCATGATTTTACTTGTGAAATTGAGATGCTGAACACTGCTAATTAAACACACTGCCCCCTGCATTGACATCAACACTGGCAAACAACGCTCCCTTCCCTTGCCCAGGTTACCCACTGCCTGTGCTGAAATCACTAACACTGCAAGGCAAGAGGACAAGTAAGTTCTGCCTTGGGAGCTGCAGTCACACCCAATGAACACACAAGATAACAGCCAGAGAGTTTTGTTAAGAACAGGTATATCACAATTGCACACCTCTACACAGTGAATGAACATGTATACGTGTACACCTAGTGACCTGTGCACTGTGTCCCATGAGAACTGCTTTACTAGTGACTCAGATGTTTCACTAATTGCTGCAACAGTTTTCTCTGTATCTGTCAGAAGAAACAGCTCAGTTCACATCTTTCACGTTGCTCTTCAACCCTGACTACCAAATTTTGACCAAGTTAGCATCGGGAGGCTCTGCATCCATGCACAAGGTGGAATAACTAGTCTAAGTCTGTCTCAATCAGGACCTTTTTTAGCATCTACCCATTGCTTCCAAGAACAGTTACAGGCCTTCTCATCAAAATGTAATGGAATTGTTCCCAGCTACGTAAGTAACCAGAGATATGTTAGTGGTGCTCTGTATTATTTCAGCGTGGATGTCTGCAGGTCATACGTGAATGCTTTCCTGTTTGTATGCATGCAGAAATCGTAAGTTATAATTCAGACTCCAACATTAAAAGGAGGGAAATCATTAGCTCTGGTAAAGTTTCTATGAGGTTTAATCCCTGACTTCAATGGAGGCAAGACATCCCAGTAAATGTTCATCTACAAGTTGCAAAGAAGATCAGAAATATATGATGATTCTACACATGTGGCTTCCAGATACAATCCACAATGAAAGATGTCTAACTTTGCTCTTTTCAGTCTTACCTGGTTTAGCGTGCTTATAAACAAGACAAACTTTTCCATTCCCATTGCATGGGTCTAATTCAAAGATGAGACTACGAGAATCGAAGTGTGGCTTCTCTGGTTTGTCTCCACTGCCTGAAAACAGAAAAAACCGTTGATGAAATATTTGGAAAACTGACTGTGACTCAGCTGCCAAAAGGCAATTCATTTGATATTTATTAATAAATCAGCTGAGTAACAACTAAATCTATATTAATACTTCTTGACTAAGTTGCCCGTGCTGAAAAAAAAAAAAAAAGAATTAAACCAAAAACTGAGAAAAATTTTAATCTCTGTTAGGAAAACAAACCAGAGTCAAAATCAGTTGTCTGAAAAAAGATATCAAGCTACTCTCTAGTCCTTCCCTGGCATAAAGAAAGATCAGCTCCCAAGAGGTGTTTGTCTACTCTTTTCTTACAGTTCTCCAGTGCTGGAGATGCCACAATCTCCTGACAGTCAACCCAAATCCATCGTTACCAATTAGATGTTTTCCTCAGGTGGATCCTAAATCTTCCTTGCTGCAGGTGAAGCTGATTATTTGTGTTCTATCCATCATCTCTTTCTTGCCCTACTTTACTCTTTTCTAAGGAGGACAGGGAGAACAGTTTATTCTTTTTCTCTTGCCAGAAGTCTTTGATGAACTTGGAAACAAAAACATTTCTTCATACATTCCAGGGTGACATCAGTGTCCTTCGCAACAGCCACAGAGTCTGACTCATATTCAACTTGTGACCCACAAGAACCACAGAGCATTTCTACAGGACCATTCTGGGACTGCGTAGCTGCAAGTTCTTGCAGAACATCATTTTGAATTTTAAAGCTGCTTGGGACATAAGAGCTCATCAGAAGAATTTTCCGTGGAAGTCAGGATAAGAACTCTTGTAGGGATGTAACTTTTTCTCAGTGTACCTCAGTGTACCATCAGTGGCTAAATGGAAGCAGAATTTGTCCCATTTCATTACAATGGCTAGAAGACCAGGACTGCAGCCAAGCTGGAATGTGCAGAAAGATACCTTCCAGCCATATTTAGCAGCTACAAGAGCTATAGAGACTCAGGGACAAGACTTAAACCAAATAGCTATTTTTTAAGGAGTCAGCACGACACCTGGCTCTATTCTTACCTGCTTTACTCTTCCAGTCTTTCTAGACTGTAAGAGATCTGAGAAAAGGAGTGGGCTTTTCTTTTTCCCTCCAAACTGCAGCATGCCCAGCATTTTTAGGCAGTCCGCAAACACACATTTTCCAGTGTCACCTCACATTTACATGTATTTAGCAGAGTTACTTTTCCAGTTCCAAAGAGCACATCTAGCTGCCTTTTCACTACCAAGACACAAACTGTTTTCTTTTGTTCATGTAACACTACAAGGACACAAAGACTTTAGAAGCTGAATCACTGGAGGAAGCCTCAGTTAAAAAATAAATAGGGAAAAGGCAGAATAGGAGGCTGCCAGGCTGTTAAAAAGAGGATGCAAGTAACACTGGCAACTGGCAGCATTAACAATCCCCACGAGATTCTCAGCATACAGGCCTACCTCTCAAGGCTGTAGGGGACTGATAGGACATGTAGTAGATCCAGCCCAGGAGACAAAGCAAATCCCACCTACTTGGAGCAACTTTTGCTGTTGCTATATCCATGTGCTACATAGAATCATAGAATAGTTAGGGTTGGAAAGGACCTTCCTAACATCATCCTGACAGAGCAAAAGGGATGTGACACAGAACATTTTCTACCTGTTAACAGGACCTTACCTTCCTCGCCTGTGTCATCTTCCAGGTCAGCAAGAGTTGGTGCATTAGGCAGAGCGTACATAGAGGAACCTCCAAGCCGACATAGCTTCGAGACACTATTAATCACCATGGAGCCCAGGGGCATTGGTGTATCTGCAATAAGACTGACTGTTAATCACATAGTGTCAGAAGCTATTTTCTGTTCTTCCACACATCAACTCAACCTCTTCTAAAACACAGAGAGGCAGAAGAGATGGGTATACCCAGCAGGCCTGGACACTTAACCAAGTCAGGCTCTAGAGGAGCAAATATTAGGCATTTTCAAACATATAATCACACTTACAGGTGACGTGACACCATCTCAGAGCTGTGCTGGTACAAGAATTACGCTGCTGGCCAAGCCTGTGCTGCAGCTGTTAGCCCAGTCCTGTGAGACTGGCTATTAAATATCCTGCTAGCTACAACCACCTCCTCAAAACCCTTTTCCCTGCTGCTGTCCTTCCTACCAGGAACCACCTCACCTGTTCACAGCTTATTGGGCAGCTTATCCTCTTCCACCCCATATACCTGCTCAGGGTGCATCCTCTTGGTTCCCACTCCAACAGAGGGTTATCTGTGTTGTCAACATGTGGGTGTTCCTAAATGAACGCTTGAAGACTTGCCACTTGTCTCTTCTGATGATTAGAACTGTTACCAGACATCAAGCACCCTGTTCCACCATAAGCCAGTGTGAAAGGCCTCAGTAGGCACTACTGGATGCTTGCTTAAACAAGGCAGGCATGTGAGCTGCACTGCACTCTTTGCAGTTGTGTGCCCTGAAAACAAGACTCTTCAGAGCCACAACACACTAAATCCCACTTGAAACATGATGGGACCCAGTGCAGGTGCCAAAGCCCTGACGGCAACTTGTTTCTGAAATGAAATTCCACTTCCTGAGGAACAACCCTGTAGTTCACACCCATCTGTGGAAGTAAGCAGTGTCCACAGCCTAATTTGACAACCTCACTTGAAGGCAACAAGAGCCAGCATAATAATTGCAGGGCTCCGGCGGAGAGTGAATGAACTGCCTAACTCTTGCCAAACAAGGATGGACAACAAACCTTGATCCTCTTCCTACTTCCACCACAGACTCCAGAAATTGCTCCAGTCAATGGACTTGAGCTGGTGGAAAGCAGAATCATGCTCCAGCATGTACATACAGTTTTTAATGAGAAAGACACATTATCAGAGGGTAACTCTTCCTACTGCTTTATGATAGGACAAGGTACTAGAGCTGCTTCTCTCTCCAAAAACTACAGAGGCAGTGTAGGTACGAGATTTAAACTACACACCTAAATCTGAGTGTCAACAGATGGCCAGTGTACTACAGAACGGCATTTATGTCAGTAAGATTTTTTTGGTTTCTAGCCAGTATTCAGTGTACATGTCTCTTCTGTGGAAGTTCAGCATATGCAAGCAAGAGGCTTCCTGTTGCACCAGGAAGGGACCTCTGACGTGCAGGCATATTTTTTTCCTCACATCTCTAATATAGTCTACTATCCCATGCAGGACTACACTCACTTATTAATTCAGAGGTCAGTTTTCTGTAGTCACTGATGAAGCTGCCTAGCAGAAACAAGCTACTTTTTTTTTGAAAGTTAAGGAATGGTGCTATTTTATTAATTCAAAGTTATTTGCTGCATGTGCTTTTCCTCAGACTAATGCAGGATGCAGACAGATGTGTACTGACTGTGCAGAAAGTAAGTTTGAAATTAAAGAGATTCTGCAAAGGAAAGACTGGCTGCAATGAAATGAGGGTATTGGTGCAGAAGAATACATGGACTTACCATCAGTCTTCACACTCCAGGTCATCTGAAAGCCATCAGTCATCAGATAGAAGTTCTTTAAATCCTCTGGCAATAAGCAGGAGTTTTTCTGCAAATAACAATCAAAATGTCATGGGAAGATGCAGAATGTGACCCAAACCCAAAGAACAACTGAATGTCAAATCACATCATAGAATCATGAAATCACAGTATACCAGGTCGGAAGGGACCTCAAGGATCATCTGGTCCAACCTTGGCGAACTCACAGTGTAGACCCTGTCCAGCTGAATACTGAAAGTGTCCTGTGTTGGAGAATCCACCATTTCCCTGGGGAGATAATTCCAATGGCTGAATGTTCCCACTGTGAACAATTTTCCGTATGTCCAGTTGGAATCTCCCCAGGAGTAACTTGTGCCCATTGTCCCATGTCTTTTCCACATTACTCCTTGTAAAAAGGGAGTCTCCATCTTCTTTGTAACCACACTGAAGTAACCCTGATGGGCCTATAATTCGACAGGTCTTCCTTTAAGCTCTCCTGGTAGATGGGGATAACATTTTCCTTCTTCCGGTCTTCTGGGACATGTCCTATATCCATGACTTCTCATAACATTATGGAGAGTGGCCTTGCAATTTCGTCAGCACTCTCTCTTAATACCCTTGAGTGGATATTGTCAGGGACCATCGATTAGCAGGGGTCAAGCTCCTGTAACAGTTCACATACCAACTTTTCCTCCACTGACAGGGGGTCTGTGTTTGAATCAACCTGGATTCTTGTTCCCACGGCCTGGAGCCCAAAAGTGCTGGTAAAGACAGAAGGGAAGAAAGTGAACCTCTGCCTTTTCAGCGCTATTGGTGAGTTATTCCCCTCTCTTGCTTAACAGTGGGCCAATATTTTCCTTCTGTTTCTGCTTGTTGTTCTCATACCTGAGGAACTCTTTCTTGTAGTTTTGACACCTCTGGCCAACTGAAATTTGAGCTGAGCTTTTGCTTTTCTAACTGTGTGTCTGCACACGCTGGCAATGTCCTTGAAGTTCTCAACAGGTATTCATCTGCTTTTCCATCTCTGGTATGCTTATCTTCAGAGTTTGAGCAGATTCAGAAGTTCGCAGTTAAGACGAGGGGGTCTCTTGCTCTGTCTACTTTCCTTACTTTTAAATGTGATTAACTGGTTTTGTGCTTCCAGGAGAGTGTTCTTGAAAATCTCACAGCACTCGCCAGCTCCTTTTTCCTCCACGGAACCTTCCCCTGGTATCCCCCCGCTAACAGAGCTCTGAGCGAGTTTACTGGTGTAAAATCTAAAACCTTTGCCTTAGTACTAAACTTCAGTGTGCTCAGCCAGATCCCAAACTCCACAATACAGTGATCCCTACAGCCAAGGCCATCACTAACTGAGAATATTACAAAGCAGCTTTTCTTGGTTTGCGAGTAGCAGCAAGTTCAGCAGTGCCTCGTTCCTGGTTTGTCATCTGTCATTCCTAGTTTGACCAATGTCATCTAACGTTTGAATGAAGCAGTCCTTTACACAGTCCAGCAACTTGATGGATGACATGAGAGCCACATTATTTTTCTTTCAACAAATGTCTGGGTAGTTGAAGTCCCCCATGAGAATCAGGCTCTGTTGACCTGAAGCTTGCTTAAGTGACTCAAATATTGCTTTGTTGGCCTTATTGTCTTGTTTTGGAGGTCAGTAGCAGATGCCTACTGTAAGATGCCCCTTGGAGACAACCACTCTGATCTTGACCCAGAGGCATTTGACAGGGCTTCCACAATCGTCATAGCTGACTACTACACATCCAAGGTACAGAAATATTTGCCACCAAATGTTTTGCTCAACTCCAAGACAACTCAAATTAGCTCAAATATCTCATTCTAAAAACTTGAGAGAAAACTATTTTTGGGTCTGTGCTACCGTAGTTACAAAGATTACTTTGGAAAATTCCACAATGAGCAGTCAGTCATCTCAAGATTATTACACGATTGTTCCCTAACTGACATAGCATATCATCCTTTGACACTGACAGCCACTCCAAGGTCACATATATAGGAACAGTCAGCTTTTTCATATATTTGGCTTAGAAAAGTAGAGTTTTGCTTAAGTGAAATCAGACTAAACCCACCTGTTTCACTAAATCATGTATAACATTAGCACAAGGACTCTCTTCTTCTGAGGGATTTCTGTTCCAAGAAGGTGAGAGAAGCACAGACTCAATACTTGCTTGTAATCAAGCAGGTTTTTGATGTTTCACTTAACAAACAGTATGTGTGCAAATACACACAGATTCAAACTCACAAAACTGCTGGTCTGGCTTCATCCCACTGAATTTCAGTGCTCAGCTGGGGCTCGTAAGCCTGCTTCCCCTGAGCTAAGAGTGAAAGAAGCAATCCCAGTGAGCTGGTGAAAGCACTACTAAGAACCAGGACCTCTTCTATACCTATCTTGGTTGCGGAAGGAGCCTTTCTTAAGCAACAAATATGAGGAAGGGATTCCAGAAGCTACATTTTACAGGGAAAAATGGAGAAGTAATATGAAGTTTGCAACACAGCATGTCTGATAATTCAGTAACTTTCACAACAGGATTTTCAGCCTTTTCTAAAAAAGGTGTATTTCTTCCTTTCAGCCAGTTTTAAAGACATGCTGTTGGACATGGCCTACTCTTTGCGCAGAGTTTCATACTCAAAGCAAGAAAAGACAGAATTACAGACTTTAAGAACATCTATAGGTCAGTAGTGCTGTCCCTCATATATGCTTACCCTGCCACAGATCAAGAGGTTGTTCAGGTAGGTATTCACAGCCTGGCCTCAGAGGCATGGGTGGGTTTTGAAGCAGTTACAGAATTGCTTTGGAGAAAGCAGAGCAATCAGATGTTAATGGCTTTCCAATATTGTGCCTCTGCTGGGACAACTTCCCCACAGCTACTAGAAAACATAACATTCAAAGTCTCATAAAATAAAGGAAGAATACTCTGGTAACCAGTAGGTAAGGAAAAGAAACACGTACATGCTGTTCATGTAGATTTATTTCACTAGGGACATTAATTTGTAGTATCTCAAGAGATGTTGGTCTGATTCTTCTCCGTGTCTGCAACTTGTACACGTCCAGATATCTGCCCTAATGTTGCCCCAATGCATCTATAAGGGGGAGCTACCTGCCAGCTGTGCATCCAGATGCAGTGCTGGCCTTTGGTCACCAGTGACTGGGACAAGCAAGGGAAGGTGCTGGCCTCCTCCTGTTCACATCCCTTCCCTCCGCTAGGACCAGGGCAGCCCTCCTGTCTATTAAAGCTTTAGTCTCAGTCACTTTCTTTGAGTTCTTACAGTCCCTGTCCCCTAAGCTGTGGTGTATCTGCTGTGCAGAACCCTCTAACACACCCACAACCTTTACTCCTACATGTTTACTTTCTAAGCATATCCATTTATGTCAGTAGACTGCTACTGACAAGTCCCAGATATTAATGGCTTTGCAGCTTTCAATAGGCCAGGTCACTTGACTTAACCCATCAGCAGCCTGGTTCCTAGCTCAGTGCTTTTCTAAGCCAGGTAGGGGAAATCTTCAGAGGCAACAGCTACTAAAGCAGGAATCTGATGCTGTAGAAACTTTGTATTAAGGAGAATTTATTGTCCTTTGATAAGAGCCTGCTGATGCCTGAGGCCCTGGTGGTAAGTTTCAGGAGATCACTAAGCCACGTGTACATATCTGAAGTTCTTCAAATGCCTTTAACAAACACACCTTCTTCCGTGGGTTCTTCTCAGTCCTAAATATTTACAATTTCATGCTGCACTTTCACCACTTCCAGTTTCAAGCTGTTGCTGTAAGCACAGTGACAAGGATTAAAACTATGAAGAAAGAAAATATGACAGACCTCAGAAGGCCTGTCAAAGCCTCAGAAGAGTACAAGTGTTTACACAGCACTTTCAGTCCATTTCAAGCCCCCCCCAGTTTTAACTAACCTACCCCAGTAGTAAAAACACATATGCAAACAGCTCTCTAGACTTCAGTAGCTGTTCTCCATCCATTGGGATGACAAAATCTATGTTTTTAAAACTTCCACTGTAGTATCCAGTTAAATACTACTACAGACTGGGCACAGCTCAATTTAACAAACATAGCAGATTAAGACATGGAAAAATCACATCTGAACAGGCCTTCTGCTCTGAACCTCTCTTTCTGGATGGAAAGATTAACATGTTTCTCCAAACGGCTGTGCTCACTGTGCTCACTTTATTTTAGGATTCACCTAACCATGTCACTTTTCACGACTTTCCAAATGATGGAGCAAAATGCATGGGTAGAAAATGCCGTACGAGAGCACATCTGGGGTCTATAGGAAAATACCTCCCTATAGAAAGCTTCACTAATAGCGATCTCACAGAAAGGATCCATTGATCTGTTATGTTATGCTCAGCCACACGACCCTATGATGTTAAAACAGTGATCTTGTGACAGCAGAGTCACAGAAACAAGCCACTAGTAGATATTAAAAATGGCTTCTCAAGCCCTGTACTCCCCCAGCTCAACTGGTAGTTTCCAGGGTTGTGATCTCCAGCTCCATAAAATACAATATTCCTAATAAACTGCCAGAAGTGGCTTAACCACAGACCTGGCAAGCAGCTGTTTTCACTACAGTCATCTGGTTACACTCATCAGCTCATAAAACAAAATATCCCGAGTGCCCAATATGGTGTGTGAGGTCTATTTCTTTTGTTTATTGTCTGTAATATCCCCAAATATTATGTCTCCCAAGTCTCCCAAGAAAGCACAGTCCATTGAGGATAGAGAAGAGTATTAGAACCAGGGTATTTTTGTTGCCAAGACCTCATCAGCAGTGGATCCAGAGCTGAAACACTGACATATGGCAATTCACTTAAAGCACTGTTGAAACAGTGCCTCTCAACCAAATATCCCAAAGAAATGAACAACAATCAAAGTATATAGCTTGAAAGAGACTTCTTTTAAAAACTTAACGAGTTTTATCCAACTTCTGGGGAGAGAAAGAAGGGGTGTATGTCACTCTCAGGGCTTCCAAGTAGTAGCAGCCTCCTTTTTCTCTCCCTAATGTTTCATGACTGGTCTGCCCCAGCTGCCAGTGAATGCAGATGTTAATTTTTCTAACATACTGAGATGTTCTTGTTGCAGCTTTTATAAATCTGATTGGGGAGGCTCCCAGGAGATCATCATGCTTGGATTTCCTGCCCCGAAAGGTAAGGGGCTGGGGCAGACCTGTCTCCTGCAGTAGAGAACAGGATTTGGCAGTTCTGTTGAGAATACTGGTGTGTAACCATTTTTTAAAATCAGAATATTATGAAGTCCCACAGGAGAGGATGTCAGAAGCATCATCTATCTCCCAAAAGTCCTCCAGCCTCTCTCCCATTACAGGGCTTGAAGAAATATACCTTTCCTCATGCACTGGTTCTGCTGGATCCACTTTCCCACTCTCTCATGGTCAGGGCCACAAGGTAAGCTCAAGATGGGCAGATCCTGTGCTTCTGGGGATCAGGGATGGAAGGCTTACCTAATGCTGAGGGAGGACATTACAAGGAGGATGGCAAGGACCCTTGTGGATGTGCAAACTTTTGGGTCGAAAAGAGATGCAATGAGGAAGACTTCTAGAACAGCCACGAACAACCCCCACGGTTCACACTGAGATTTGCATGCAGAGAGTTTCCAAATTGTTTGGCAGCTTAAGACTGTCCACAACAGGAAAGCATCAGACTGCTTGAGAGCTTTTTAATAGCTTTATTACTGAAAAATAAATCTTCACACACAAAGTGCCTTAGGAGAAACAACAAATTTCCCTTGTAGAGTTGTAGAACATCAAAGCTCCAGCAACATGATGGGCAGGGACTGCTTACACCCAGCCAGGGGCAGATCAGACACTGCTAATAAGCTAATTAGAAGAACGGGCAAAATGAACCCCTTCATTTTCCTTGGCCTGCTGTGGTGCTGAGCACTGTGGTGCTCCAGCTCTCCCCAACAGAATGTGATTTTCTGATTCTGAAAATCAAAACAACGATGTGAGAGACTTATTTCTCTTCTGGTTGAGGCAAAAAATAAAATGTGGTTCAGACAGTCATAGCAGACACCAGAATACCTCCTATCACTATTCTAGTGTAACACCTACTTTTAAAAACTGCACATTGAAGGGAGCAAGGCAGTTGGCAGCTTAATTTTAGGAGTGGGAATGGGTTCATAGGACATTGTTATTAGCACTGGTGTTCCAGTGACCTGGAAACTCTCTCTCTACTCCCCCTTCTGTTGCTTATCTTACTTTCTTGAGGAAGAGATATCTTCTTGATAGGTCTAAATATATCAAAAGATGAAAAAATTATCTGTTTTTATTTAAATATTTTGAGCTGCTTTAAAGTTTTGGGGAAGTGATGCTACCTGTGTATGTATGTAACAATTATATGCCTTACATATCTTAGTGAGTGTGCTGATTTCCATTAAAATATCGATTTCAAGTTTGATTTCCTGACCATCTCTTTCTGGTTCTACAGAAAGCCTTAGGAAAAAAACCTTTTCAGCTCTCCTACTGTCTTACTGCACTGTCTCCTGTCATGAAGCTCACCTTCCTCTGCAAAGCCTCATAGCAGCTAATGGACATTCAACAAGCTGATCTAGGATTTTAAAACTTCCACCACAGCACCCAGTTAAATACCAGCACAAACCAGGCACAGCCCAATTTAACAAGAACAGCTGATAGAGGCAAAAAATTTGCACATTGCCAGTATTATTAGAGCATGATTTTAATCTAGAATCATAGAATGGTTAGGGTTCAAAAGGACCTTAAGATTTATAATTTAAAGAAATGTTTACTTTCTTTTAGGAGCTCCTGAATACCATATATTTTCTCTCAGCAAAAATACTGTTCCATTGCAAAACTGAAATAGGATTGGAAAAATTGCTTCTAGAAAAAACAAAACAAAACAGAACAAACATAGAGCTTTTATTTGGCGACTGCCGATGAAACCACTTTTCCTTCCATCATACAAAAACCCCTGCAAATACTTTCATAACCAAAAACATAGAGAAGAGCTACAAATATAGACTGTGACAAGATCTTGTTATAATCTCACCTACAGAGAAACAATTTTGTGCATAACTATTGCCGCCTAGTGGCTGCGAAAAAACCCAGTGATAAAAGTGAATGCTGGATACACTTAAACTTGTATTCAAATTCAAACAGGATGAGTTTGAGGAAAAGTGAGGTACAAGGTTATTCTGGAAGGACCTTGTAAGATGCTGAGTGCTTTACCCTTAATCATCATTGCAGGACATATTGCAATTGCATGGACTGTGTTAGATATCAGATTTCACCTCCAAAGCTCAAGAAAAAAAGTAGGAAAAAAGAGTTACCTTTTAATTCAAGAAGTAGATTTCAGGCTTTGTCAACGCAAATGGAACAAAAAGCAAAGAAATAGACTGCAAAGTCCTTCACCGTCAGCAGTCTGCTGTTTAACATTCACCATCTACTTCCACAATGAACTTAAGTCCATCCCTGGTGGGTTGGGGCTGGAGCTGAAGTTTTGTTTTGACATCTTTGGAGCCAAGTGCTTTGGTTACAGCTCTTCAAAGTATGGCTTTACAAGAATAGCTCGATTTTGAAACAAGCCCAATTTAGTTTGGAGGAGTAGGAGCACCTGAATATGAGAGCAGTGCTATGCTCCGGAGAAGCAGTCCTCTCCACTCAACAGAAGAACGAGCAAATGTCATTCTGCTGCCTCCAGGCCTGAGCTGGCTCACAGTCAGAGGCCTCAGACTTTCCAGCCCAGTTAATGTGACACCTGAACAACAGCTACAGGAGATCAGGAATCAATTCACACGAACCTGAAAAACCGGACACTTCTGCCTGAGCACAGTTTCTCGCTACTGTACAGGTTTCAGTAAATACCATAGGTTTACATCACATACATTCTGACCTGGGTTTATAAATTCTTGATAAATATCACTAACTGGGATAGGGCGTTACCAAAACCAGTGCAAGATTCTTTGCTACTGTTTAAGAACAACTGTAAAGGGCAAGGAGTCACCACAGGGGAAGTTATTTCAGGCAGTGGTAATGTGCAGTCCCTGGGAGCGTGTGCGGTAGGGTATAGCCAGAGTTGGAGCAGTAAGAGGATGATTCACTTATCTCCACCCTCTGCAATGCAAAGGCCAGTCAGCTTTACTGTCTCTTCACTATATCTGAATGACACCTTGAAAATAGTTACGCCACTTACTGGCTGGGATAGAGTTAATTTTATTCCTAATAGCTTGTATTTGGCTTTTGCCTGAGAACAATGCTAACAGTACACCCATGTTTTAGTTGTTGCTAAGTAGCACTTACTCTGATCAAGGACTTTTCAGTCTCTCATGCTCTGCCAGTGAGGAGGGGCACAAGAAGCCCAGAGAGAATAGCCCCGAACTAGCCAAAAGGGTATTCCATACCACAGCTTGCACTGTTCATCACTTGGCTGTTGTGTTTTGTTTTGGTTTTTTTTGTTGGGGAAGCAGGGTGGGGGTGTGTGTGTGTGTAGAGGGAGCAGGGTTTATTCCTTCCTCTGTCTCTTTATTTCCTTAAAAAAAAAATAATAATTGTTACTATTATTATTGTTGTTGTGTTATTATATCTTACTTTTATATCAATTATTAAACTGTTCTTACCTCAACCCACAGGTTTTTACCTTTTTTCCCCGATTATCCTCCCAGTCTTACTGGGGAGGAAAGGGAGTGAGTGAGCAGCTGCGTGGTACTTAGTTGCCAGCTGGGGTTAAACCACGACATCCACCACGGTCATGGGATTGATAAGCACATGTATATTCAAAAATGGGACCAAAAATACTATCTCTGCCCAGAAGAGTCACAGAGCAGTACTCAGGAGCCCTCTGGTCATCTAATGTGGAGTGAAGGTAGCATGTGTCCTTCACAGTCTTCTAGAAGGGGCAATGAGACATGCTTTGGCCAAAAGACTGGGTTGGTTAGATGAAGAGGAGGTGGAAGAAGAAGCTAGGAGAAATGGAGGTGAATAGCTGAGAATGAAAATATAAATAGATAATTGGAAAGAACTGAGTGGCTCAGTGGTATTTTCCAGCTTGAGGACTCTGCCTTTGATGGCTATGAATAATGAAGAGCTTCTCCATTTTGTTTGAAAGGGAGTAAGAAAATGGTTTCAGACCCGAGTCAGAACAATGTTTGTTCTCCACTGAGTCACCACCATTGCTGCCTACTACAGTTATGTCATTTCTTTTTAGAGTTGTCATTCTGAATATACCCACACTGCACATGTTTCTTTAACAGATCAGGTGCATTCAATAGCCTAAAAGACAGAGTAATACCTGATTAAAACAACCAACCAACATCTCTTTAGGTTCCACTGTGCCTCAAACTCGGTGGCAGGCTGTCTTCACATTAAAACAACGGGCAGCCATTGCATTTGACATTCTCCATGGGCTGCTGTACATTCAGGCAGACCTCATTGCAGTATTAGCACAAAAATACTCACTTGCTCCCATGAAATGATTGTGTGGCGTTCAGCTGGCTCTTTTTCCACAAACTTCACCTCGGCAACTCCTGGAGAAGTCTCTAAAAGGAAAAGAAGAGCATGTTTGCAGCTGGCACTGTGAGCCAGACAGTTTTGCAAGTTATTGTGACTGACAGCTCAGGAAAAGGCATTAATAACTGCAAGCATTGTGCTGGTGACTGAGCAGTCACTTTCTTTTGTTTGTAACTGTACTCGGCATGTCTTGGCATAAGGATGCCTAGGGCTGCACAAGATGTCATCCTTTGATGTTTTTTATAGACATATATACACACACACACACACATACTTTGTATTCAAGGCGTGATCTTTTGCAGAGCTTTCAAGGGAAAATAAACCATGGGTTCCTAGGACTCTGAAACTTTTTCTTTGTAAGCGTGCTCTGTGGTTTCAGTTGGGTAGGATATTCTCAGCTTGACACAAGATGTTGTAGAAGTGTTGCTGTGAATTGCTAACAACCGTATTCCACAAAGATGGCACACTTCAGCTCTGGATTCAGTGGTTTTGAACAGGCGCAGAGTCTGAGCCTGCTGAAGGGATCTGCATGAGCAAACATCAGCTCATGCAGATCCCAGCTGGACACACGTGAATTTGCTATGAGCACCAAGCTCATAATTTATAAAAATCATCTGAATATTTTATGGGAAAGAATGATATGAAAATGAAAGATACTAATCTACATGGTGCTGTCCTGGCGGGTGTGCATGGCAGAACAGTCTCCCTTGCACTTATTATTTTATAATGTTTTACTTCATCTACAGCCAACTGAAAGAGTTCCCACTGACTTCATTCACTTTGGATCATGTCCAGAAAGACTACTAACTTCTTGTGGGAACTGCAAGCCCAGCTCACAGGGCCGCTGTGGAATAGGAGTGATCACTATACAGGGCTTTCAAGAGCAGCTCTGCTGTGAAAGTATTGGCTCCCAAAGCAGTCACATGTATTAAAATTGCTTTCTGGTAAAACATACACAGTGCACTAGACAGGAAAGGCAGGCACTAGAGAGCTTTGGTTTGTTTTTTATCTCTAGTGCTGGGCTTTTAATTCTAGCAGTAGTGTTGTCCTGCTGTGTTGTCTGTTCTGTTGGTGGAAGAGCAGCATGTAGTTTCAGAAAGTCTAAACTTCACTTAATTGGAAGTACTGATTGGTATGCTGACAGATAATTTAAAAGACAGAACATGGTGCTAGAAACCAAACTCCAAGTTGAAGACAGAAAAAAGAAAAATGAAGAAAAAGAAAAATCACAGTAGGTCACCTAGGTAATCTGTCTGTCCAAGGGTCGTCCAAACATACACAGGATTCTGATGTTTGGCCAAGTTTTACTTCCAGTAGGTGGGTGCAAGGCAGGGGGATATGTCTCTTGCTCAAATATAAGCCGTCCATGTGTATTCTGTTTCTAAAGAAGTGTGTGGAATCAATGATCTAACTGGTCTCTTCCATCTAAGCTATGCAAGCTAATCATAATAATAGAGTAATTGTTATTTCTGTGATCAAAGAAAACAGCAGGGACGTTTAATTCATCATGCACAACAGCTTGGCTGGGATGATGGAAAATTATGTATCCTATCAGTCAGAGAAGATACCTAGGAATGAGAACGAGAAAACTGTGACTTCTAAAGGGGCCTAATCCAAATCCAAGATCAAAAGAAAGAGAAATTCAGTCTTAAAAGCTTGAATGTTATACTAAAAATATCCTGTGGGTAAACTGGTGACCATGATTAACAGATGTGTGTAGGTATGGATGAGAGCTCCATTAAACATTAATGAGGAAAATAAGCCTACCGTGAGTTGCTTTTTCTTCCAGATGGAAGAAATAAAGAAGTCACCTAGGTTAGACAAAAGGATAAAGCTTAACTAGTTCAGGTGACTCCTCCCTATAACTATTCTGAATCAAGATCACAGTAAACTCTGTGCTGCTTTCATGACATTTCTTATGGAAGCTTCCAAAAATGCTCTGCAGTATTAATTACAAGGAATCTATGTAATGGTGTGACACAAAGCTGAAGTGGAAATCATCACAGTATTATCAGCCCTTACAGTACTGCTAATACTGCCACCAAGTTGGATAAACTCTCAGGATCTTTTAAAAATGTGTGAACAGTTATATTCTTATCTAATAAAGACTATAAATAGCTCAGCATGGTCCTGCTCTGGGCAGCCCAGTACAGCTAACACCTCCCATTCAGATTTAGTTGTGAGCAATTAACCTTTCTGAAATTTGCTGTTATTCATAGAACATCAGCAAAATTAATCCTACGGGCAATGGAAAAGATGCCTCTCTTTTCTTCTCAAATTATAACCTCTCTAATGGTTGTGAGAAACCTACCACTTTGTAAGGCCTTTCACAGGGACTAGAAGTTAAAAAGAACAAAACAACCTCCTCCCCCCCAACCTCATATATAGAATATGTTTAAGGGGGGGGGGGGGGGGCTTGAAATGGTGCCATGAACATTTGTTCATAAAGGTACTGGAAAATTGGGCCTCAAGTTCCCATATACCATATATGCAAAATTTTCTTGCTTAAGAGGAGTGTGTTGAGTTTCATTACATACTCATTTTTATCTCTGAAGAAAAAAAATAAGTTCCACAACAGAGTTAAAAGTTTATTACTGCTTTTATGTTATGGCAGGCAGAAAAGCATCTAATGGCTTCATGAGACTTCCCAAAAGAAGATTTAAAATAAGATAGTTTCTAGTGCTGCAAACTACTGAGTAAGGCATCTTTCTGAATGAAATACGCTCTGTAATTTGAAAGAAACAAGCACTGAACAGATGGGCAATGCTTCCCAATTAGCTCAGTAATTCTAATTAATAGGTTGCTACAATTTACATGCTTTGGACTACTTCACTGGGAAAGAATTTGCAAAATTCCCAGAGGGACTGAATAGAGAGAGATGAGAACCAGCATAAAACACTGCTGCAATGGACTGGGGTGTGCACTGCTATATTGCACAACACAAGCGATCAGAGATACAGACAGAAAGCCAAAGAAAAACCAAACACAAACCAGGGCACATCTTCCATATCAAAGGGATGCTTCAAGAGTTTCAGAGCCCAGCTGGCATTGCCAAGCCTCGCTGGTGTAAATAACACACCTACCCCAAACAATTTATATGGCGACATTGCTTTTGGACATAGATAACATCCTGTTAGATTGCATACTTCTGAGCCTGGGTGGTGAAAACGTGGGCAGGGCTAGTAACTTTTCAAAAAGAGCTGCTTCAAAGAAGAATGTGCCATGATGGTTGATCAGCAGTAGTTTCACCCTTTTAATGCTCTCACAAAGTACAATGATAACATTATCCTGCCCTCCTAGCAGGAAAACAAGAAAAAACAAACAAAATCCCCCAAAATGCCCAATAGTAAGTCAGTAAGAGAATGCTGAACAGAGACTGACGATGAAATCCTGTCCTAACTGAAGCCTACAGCAAGGATTTTACCCTGATCTTTTAATGTTGTCTAAGCAGCTACCTAAAAACACGTGCAACCGGTGATACTCTCAGGTTGCCAAACGAAACCCACTGTCCTGCAATACAGCAGCTGAGTGAGGACATTACAGCAGCCACTTCTGGCTTTGAAATTCATACGAAGAAGTTCTGGAACTGCGATTTTTAACGTTGTCATACCCTACATTGGGATTGGCATAGATGTATTGCTTTCCAGCCATACAAACGTGACAGTTCTGTGCCCCAAGCTGCTGACAGATGAAAGTTCTGATGCTAAAACCCTTTACACAGGCAAATCCTTTCACCAGCTCGTGTGATTCTACTGCCACGAGCGAAGTTTTGTCTGAGAAGCTTTCCCTTAGGTGTTGAGCGCCTTGCACTCCAGCTGAACTTCAAAGTGAACCGCAGGGATGCAAGAAGCCTCTTGATCTGAGCAAAAATTGGAGACAGCACGCAGGGCATGTCGTGGAGAAAGTGCCATGGTATGGGAATAGCTGCAGAGTGACTATTTACGGCGAGCTGATCCTGAGCAGATTCACAGATTAATCTACCAGAGCAGTGCCCCAAGCTGAACTCCATTCCATTGGGCGCGCTACCTGCTGACCATACCCTGCAACTAAGAATTACGCATGATTTTGAATAAAACACCACTTTCTTTGATTTCTCTGACACTGCAGGGCTCTCAAGTAGAGAGACTCAGGGTTTCTGCTGCTGATTCAAAGGGAGGGGGTGTGTGTATGTGATCCCAGAGGCGGGACCTCGCCATTCCTCTGACCGCGGGTCCGGCAGCGGGCGCCCAGCCCTCACACCCCGCGGTTCTCGGCCGCAGCGCTGGTGCGGGCACACAAGGCC